GCATTCCTGTGGCACTCCTTTGCATCTTGGGGCAATCTAGCTCCCCGTGGGGAGAGTGGGTATTCACAGCCCAGCATTCCATAGGGATAGAACCCAGGAATCTTGACTCCCAGCCCCACGTCCCTGCAGGCCCAGGAATGTTGCCTCTCGGTAAGAGCTGGGACAGTGACCTGCTGCCCTCTGCCTGTTCTGGCAGCTCCATGGCAGGTTGCAGAGTTCTAGGCCAATACAGTGGCCCCAGGACAGGCTCGGAGAGTGGGTATTCACAGCCCAGCATTCCATAGGGATAGAACCCAGGAATCTTGACTCCCAGCCCCACGTCCCTGCAGGCCCAGGAATGTTGCCTCTCGGTAAGAGCTGGGACAGTGACCTGCTGCCCTCTGCCTGTTCTGGCAGCTCCATGGCAGGTTGCAGAGTTCTAGGCCAATACAGTGGCCCCAGGACAGGCTCCTTGCCTGCCATTGGGCTCTGACCCCTGGCTCTCCTCACAGGGGCTGCTCCCACATCGGGGTGATCAAGGCCATGGAAGAAGCTGGGATCCCCATTGACCTGATAGGGGGAACATCCATTGGCTCCTTCATCGGGGCTCTGTATGCAGAGGAGCGCAGTGCTGTGCGCACCAAGCAGCGTGCCCGCGAGTGGGCCAAGGTGAGGGCAAGGCCTGCTGGGAGGTGAGCTGTGGGGCAGGGCCAGACTTGGGAGGGTGGGAGCAGGAGGACTCCCCAAACCAGCCCTTTCCAGAGCTGCTACTCAGTGACCTAGCATTCTCCGCAGCTGTTGGTTGTCAATCCCAGGGCTGCACTGGGTTGCACCACCAGCAACTGCAATACAGAGATTCCAGTGTGCCTGAGGGGCCCTGTTGACCCTCCAGGCTCTCTGCTGCAGGCATCTCTGCCCATGCTGTGCAGCTCTGTGGGTTCAGAGGCAGAGCTGCAGGCTGCCTTTGGCCCTGGGAGACCTGCTTGACTTGGAGCAGAGCACCCCCCCAATGTGCCTCAGCATTGTGCTGCTAAGCGCGTGCAGTGGTGGTGGGGGGTCCAGTGGGAATTGCAGCCTCCCAACATCTCCAGTAACAACCTGTTATGCTAGTTGGCATTTGGTGCTGGGCTCACTTTGGCTGGAGGACATGCCACACCCCCACCAGTGGTTCCATAACTGGAGTGACAGTAAATGGGGCCCATGGGGCTGGTATGTCGAGAGGAGGGGTTGTGTCTGGGCACCATCCCACTTCAGGGCCATGTGGTTTGGCTTGCGGCTGGCTCCCCGACATTCCTCCCTGCTTGTCCCTGTGAGCCTGGACTGAGTGCGGCCTGTGCTGGGCTGTGCCCCACCCATGCGGTCACCCCTCGCCTTCCTTTTGCAGAGCATGAACTCAGTGTTTGAGACAGTTCTGGACCTTACCTACCCCATTACCTCCATGTGGGGCCTGCGGCTGGCTCCCCGACATTCCTCCCTGCTTGTCCCTGTGAGCCTGGACTGAGTGCGGCCTGTGCTGGGCTGTGCCCCACCCATGCGGTCACCCCTCGCCTTCCTTTTGCAGAGCATGAACTCAGTGTTTGAGACAGTTCTGGACCTTACCTACCCCATTACCTCCATGTTCTCTGGCTCAGCCTTCAACACCAGCATCAACAAGGTCTTCCAAGACAAACAGATTGAGGTAGGTGGGTCCAAGAAGCTGGACAGGGATCCTGGTGCAGAACACTCACAGTAGCCTCTTGCTGGGCAGCCTGGAGTGATGCCACTTTTGTATTGCCTGGAGCCTGGGCTTGTCCAGGGGGCATGGTGCTTTGCACAGCCCCACAGCGGCGTCCTGGGCCTGAACATGTCTCTGATCAGCCCCTTGTGCCCTTGCAGGATCTGTGGCTACCCTACTTCAACGTGACAACGGACATCACGGCCTCAGCCATGCGGGTCCACAAGGACGGTAAGCGCTCATGCCCGGAGCGTACCCCAGGTGTCTGGCTCTCTAGGCCCACTCTCATGAGCCTGCTCCCCACCCTGAGCCAGCAGCGCAGCACATGTGTGGGAACCGAAGTAATCGGCCTTGTTGGCTTGTCTCAGTACCTGCTGGCACTCTCCAAAGAGTCCTGTTGTGTGTGTGTGTGTCCGATGGGCATGGCCATGGTCTGCATGGCTGTGCCAGGCCTGAGCTCAGCAGTGCTGACCTTTGGGCACTCAGGCGCTGAGCCAATGCCTGTAAAGAAGGGAGCTGACACCCCCACTAGAGAGTGCCCCTGGCCTCCCGAAAGCTGTGCTTGTAACCCCGAGCCCCTATCCACTGGCATGGGCCACTCAACTGTGCCAAGCCATCCACTAACACAGCGAGGGGCTGGGCTGGGCGTGGCCATCTCGTTGGCCTTGTGGGTTTAAGAATGATGAGCTGAAATAAGAGACACTGCCTCCCTTTTCTGCCCCCCCCC